CGGGATATTGCTATGGGATTTTCTTGATGGTTGCTTAAAAGGATTTTAAATTTTTTTTTTTTTTTTTTTTATTTTATTATTATTATATATATATATATATATTTTTTTTTTTTTTTTTTGAAAGTTGAGTTTAGCTAACTAAACATGTGACCACTAAATAAATTTGCACATATACAATATATTGTGCGCATATTTGTTTCTTTGTAATTTGTCTTTGTCTTTGAATTTTGAAAATCAACAATAATATCAAAAGCAAACACCAAAATGCAACAGGACATCCAACCATATAAATTTGAATGATCAGATTGACTTCATAGGAAAATTTAATAGCATTGACTATCGTTGTTCTGGTTGTTATTGATGAATTTTGTTGTTGTTCTTCTTGTTATTGTAGTTCGCAATGTTCTAAATCTGGATCTAGTTCTAGTTTTTTGTCTTTTTCGTTTAGTTTTTCATTTTCTTTTAGGTTTTCTTTTACTCTTGTTTTATCTTCAGTTTTTTCTTGTTGTTTATCTTTAGCCTTTTCTTTTGGTTTATCTGTAACTTCTTTTGGTTTATCTTTAGCTTTTTCTTTTTGTTTATCTTTAGTTTTTTCTTTTTGTTTATCTTTAGCCTTTTCTTTTAGTTTATCTTTAGCTCTTTCGTTTAGTTTATCTTTAGACTTTTCCTTAAGTTTTTCTTTAACTTTTTCTTTTAGTTTATCTTTAGCTTTATCTTTTTGTTTATCTTTAGCTTTTTCTTTTGATTTATCTTTATCTTTATCTTTGTCTTTATCTTTATCTTTGTTTTTATCTTTATCTTTGTCTTTATCTTTGTTTTTATCTTTATCTTTGTCTTTATCTTTGTTTTTATCTTTATCTTTATCTTGTTCTTGTTCTTGTTCTTGTTGTGGTCTCGGTTTAGTTACAAACTTACAATATGGCTTACGTGTTTTTTTGCGCAAACACGACGCCACATAGCTTTCAAGCTCGCGCAGCGTCGACGGCTTCAGTGTCTCGAAATCGATCTCAATCTCATCCGGATTCGAGTCGCGCAGCGATGGCTCACGATTTTGTATAATGTGTACCACACGTCCCAGCTTGTCGCCTAGATGAAGAGAAGCATTTTAGTAAAATTTGTACATTTTATATTACATATATACTTATATACTGATCAAGCATATTTTTAAATCACTTAACAATTATAAGCTACTCTATTTCTCTTTTACTTTCAATTCTCTGTACATAGTTTCCTGTAGGTCTGCCTAGTGTCTTCGTTTACCTATCTAGGTACCTATATAGGTATTTAATGTCTCATATTCTTTTATATATTTTCATATACTCAATTTTCTAGAGTACAACTAGAAAACCTTTCTCTTTCATTATGAACTGTTCCTCCAGAATCTATATTCTATAATCTATCTATTTAAAAATCAATTCTTTTTGATTATACTTCAGTTATCCAGCATATCTTTAATCGCTCAATGTATTTTGCGCTTTATCCACACGGTTCTATTATTTTTCAATTTTCTAGAGTACTAGAAACTCTTAGTGATACTTCTATTTATCTATATAAATTATTATTCATTATGAACTTTACCTCCAGAATCTATCTTCTCTAGTCTATCTAAAATTAATCTCTTGAATTATACTTCAGTTATCAGGATATAATATCAATAGATTCTCAATAAAATAACTTCACTAATCTATCATCGATATATCTTTAATCTTTAATCTTTTTTAACGGTCATAGAAACTTGAAATCAACTCTAATACGACCCCCATCTATCCATCCATCTATCCATCTATATGTTTGATCGCATATATAAGATATATATATATATATATCTGTATATGCTGATTGAGATGCGACTCACCTGGCAACTTGTTAATGTCAAGGGAGAGCTGTCGCTTCTCATCGTAGGACATTGGCTTGGCAGTGTCCTCCTCCTCGGAATCAAAGTTCATCACCTGGCTGGGCTTCTTTTTGCTGCTGCCACGGGCACCGGCACCGCCGCTGGCACCACCGGCATTAGCGCCAGCTCCAGCGCTGGCGTTGCTGCTGCTCTTGGTGCGTTTCGCACTGTTGCTGGCGCCGCTGCCACCGCCGCCGGCACCGCTGCCACCGCCAGCAGAGGCGCCACCCGCTCCAATGCCAGCTGCACCAGCAGCTGCACCGCTCGCTGCACTGCCAGCAGCAACGCCTCCGCCGCCTTTGCCGCCGCGCTGTCCCTTGACCTTAGCACCTTTACTGCCACCGCTTCCGCTGCCGCCGCCTGCACTGCCGGCACCGGCAGCCGCCCCAGCTGCCAATGCGCCCGCTAGTGCGCCGGCCGCCGCCTTGCCTCCGCCAGCCGCCACGCCGGCTGAATTGACGCCGGCCGCATAGCCCGCTCCGCCAGCGGCACCGCCGCCCGTCAGCTGGCTAATCGCCATGGCCACGTCGTGGACGTGCTGCAGCGTTGTCGCACCGGGTACTCCGCCTGCCACGCCCACTCCGCCGGCACCCACCAGCGAGCTGTTCAACAGGGCCGACAAATTGGCGCCCGCCGCACCGCCAGCATTCAGTCCAGCCACATTGGTGGGTAATGTGACGCCGCCATGGCTGGCATTGCCAGTGCTGGCCGCATGCTGAAGATGGCCACCGGCGCCGCCAGCACCACTGCCACCACCGGCTGCGCTGGCACTGCCCTGGCCCATGCTCTTCTTCTTCTCTTTCAGCTTTTTCTTAGCCTTCTTCTTAGCGGACGCCTCCTCCACCAGCTTACGTATCTCCTCCTGCAGGCCGAGCAGCTTCGATTCGAGCATCTTCAGCTTGGCACTGCGCTCCTCATCCGAATTCGATTCGTTTTCCGAATCGCTCGATTCCTCGCTTGATGAATCGCTTGCATCATGCTTTGACGTGCTCGAATAGCCGTGATGATGATGCGCCGCATTCGCAACGGGCTCATCGGGTATATTCGCGTATCGCATCTCGAAGACATCCTGCAGCTTGCGGCCCATCGCAACGACATCATGATCTGGCGGATTGTATTTGTAGCAATTGGTGAATATTAATCGCACATCGGCCGCAAATTCCGGCGCGCTCTTATATTCGCGATTGTCCATTTTACGCTTAACGGTGCCCAAATCCATGGGCTTCTTGATGATATCGTGATAGTCGTGCAGCCCCAACAGCTCAGCATCGACGGGCTTGTAGAAGGGCCAGGCATAGCCGGAGTGCTTTTTGGAGAATAGCTCCTTGAGTATCTCATTGCATGATTTAAGTGCATCCGATAGTTTCTCCTTCGACTTGGCACCAGCAACGCCCCCAATGGCGCCGCCGGCAACCAGACCAGGCACACCAGCCACACCCAACGGTGACATTGGATAGCCCGAGCCCTGGAATGTAAGATCCTTTGGTTGGTTTTCAAATTGAACGATTTCGATGGTTCGATTGTTGGTCGATTGTTCGATTCGTGCGTGGTGTATGTGCAATGACAATAACGATATAACGATGATTGTAACGAATTCAAAATAAAAATTTGGAAAAAAAAAAGAAAAATAGAATGGAGAGAAAAGAAAAAAAGCGATAATGGGTTAGAGCATTCAAAAAATGGTTTATCGATCAGTCAGTTGGTATACACAAATATTATATAAATATATGTGTATATCTATAAGAAATACGTACAATTATATGTTCAACATATATATAAATAAATACATTTTATGGATTTGCATAATTAGAGCCGAAGAGCACTATCGACAACGTGTCGACTATAAGTGAATATCATTAACCAGTGGCTTGTTGTCTCTATTAATCGATATCGATATTTATTGCTCTTCAGCTCTAATATGCATTTCGATGATCTCAAATCATAATTGTAAAAGGCAAGGGCAGCGTTTATAATATATGGGCTATTGATAAAATTATTCTTGTATTTGGTGTTGTATATATAGATATATATATATGTATATATATAGCTGTGTGTGTATGTAGTGTCTGATTGTGTGTGTGTGTGTGTGTAAGATTGTGTTGGTGTATAGATTCAAAGTTTGAGTTTTGTGTATTTCTGTGTCTGCTTGTGCTGCCTTACAAATAAACTAAGGTTTAAATCTAATTAAATTGTTTATATTGTTTAAACAATTCGTGTTTTGTTTGCAATGTGCCTTAGCCTAAACAATAAGCATTATGACTAACGTTAACGGGAAATGGTGGAATGACTTGAGCTCCATTGAAGAATATTTATCTACCTTACATGAATTCGTTCCGTATTTTCTAGCTTACTCATTTTCATAGGCTATTTTTTAAAATATCGGATCAAGCTTTTATTTCATGATTGACGCGAGAATCTTTCGAGTTCATTATGGATATCAAAATCGATCAGAGAGATGAAAGAGATTAAGGAGCATCTATTATTATTCTTAACGTCATGAACGGGTAAATCTACTCTAGCCTATATATACTGAACTAAGGACTAAGGATTTATGGATCGATAAATCGATCAATAAATCGATAGCTGTTAACGCAAGCTGTTATAAACGAGTATTAAGCAGTGGGCTATTCCCGACTGCCATATTTGTGTTAATCCTTGCAACTAATTGGTGTTTTAAACATTTGTGTACTTATATTAAGTACATCAATCACACACACACACACATACAAACACTCTCACCCACACACCCACACACACACACACACACACACATTAGATGAATTATTGAACGTCTGTCCATTGCCTCTTACCTTTTTGCCAATTACCTGACGATTCGATTCCCGCCGCGTCGCTATTTTGGCCGCCTTGGCATCCATTTGGGCGTAAGGCGATTCAAAGGCATTCGCCGTCGGCGTCGTTGTGTCCGCCTTCCGCTTGACGCCCTTCTTCATTTTGGCCGGCTGCTGTGGGGGTATCACGGCATCCACAACCCCAACACCGACGCCCGCCGTACTATTCACGTACGCTTGCACCGCATTGGCTGCATTGACAGCGGCCGATGGTATTGTCACACCGCCGGCTCCGTCCAGGGCAGCTGCTGCGACGGCGGCCGCTGCTGCCGCCTGTGCTTGGGCGACTGCCGCAGCTGTTGTCGCCGCATTGGCGTCGAGCAGGGAGCTGTTATTGATCGATGTCTGTTGGCCGGCTGCACCGTAGCTGTTGCCGCCGCCGCTTTGCGCAGGATTCAGTAGACTGGCCATGGCCGCATTAAGCACAGCTGCATTTGTTGCGCCCGGCCCCGCCCCCGCCCCCGCTGCGGCAGCCGCTGCCGCTGCCATCGCCGCAGTGGTCGTTGTGTTCGTGCTGCCTGGCACCGTATGCGGCGGCATTGTGCTTATCGGTGGTATGGACGGTGTAACGCCTCCGGCTGTTGATGAAACCGTGCCGCCCATGGCGGAGACAGGTCGGGCGTTGGCTGCTGCTGCGGCGGCCGCAACAGCTGCTGCTTGAATGGCTGCCGCTGCTGCTGCCGCCTGTGCGGCCGCTGACGTTGGCGTCGAGACGCCCGCTCCAGATGACTGGGACAGGCCGCTCATCTGGGTCAGCTGTGAGGATTGCGCTGCCTTCCCACCGGCTGTTGTCGATGTGCTGGTCGCTGTTGCTGCCGGCGCACTAGTGCTGCCAACGCCACTGCCAGCGCCGCTGCCCGATGAGATGGCACTACTATTGGCGGCCTTGGATGTGGCTGGTGCACGTTGTTTCTTTTTGCCACCCTTTGCCGTGACAGGCTCCAGCTCGATCTCCTCCTTGGGCATCGATTCGATCTTCTGCAGAAAGACCTTCTCCAGGGTTTGGGCCATCACAACAACATCCTCGCCGGGCTTATTGTACACATAGCAATTGGTGAACATGGTATTGAAGTCGTGAATGGCCTCCTTCGCCGACCAATAGTAGTTATTCTCCAAGCGCTTCTTAATCGTACCCATGTCCATTGGCTGTTTGATTATCTTGTGATAATCGGGCAGGTTCAGTTTCTTGGCATCGACCGGCTGTTGAAAGGGCCACGAGAAATGATGTTTCCAAATGACCTTCATGACTGTTTTAATCAAATATTGCAATTGATTTGTGTTCCGTCCCGGTCGGTCCTGTGGCGGCACAACCGGCGGCTGTACGATACCATTGATGGGCTCCACAGTGGGCTCATAACGTGGCGGTGGTTCGTTGGATGACATTGTTCTTGATGTACCTTTATCTAATAGTGCTTGCTTGTTCTTGATTGTTGTTGATAATTAGATCAATGAGTGAATTATGATGATGATGTTGCTGCTGCTATTTTTGTTTATGCTCCTCAAGTTGTTGACTGAGACGGCCGACGCACACACACCACAACCGCAGCACACACGCCCGGGGCCGTCTCGTCCTGCTCACACGTCCTGTTCTGTTCGCCCCGCTGCTCAAAGCAGCCAATGATGATGCACTGCTCGAGAAATGGAGAAGTTTGTGTTTGGCCTTCTATTGCTGGGCCTGCTCCTCCTGCTAATCCTGATATTACTACTGCTACTGTTGCTTGTCGTCCTGCTGCAATTGCTGCAGTTGCTGCAGGTCTGTTCCTTTATTCTATTAACGGCTATTGATGCTGGTGCGGCTGCTGATGCTGCTGCTGCTGCTACTGCTGCTGCTACTGCTTCTTCGACGGCTGCTCTTGGCTTTTGTTTCCGTTGCATGCTCAGCAAATTGTCTTCAACTAGGAGAGTTAAATTCGATTAATGCCAACATTAATTAACAATATTGATTTCTATTTCTATTTATTTACCACCACTTGCCGGTGTCGCGGCTTCTCCAGATGTCAGTTTATTGTTGCTTTTGTTGTTGCTGCGAATTCAGTTCAGTTGGCATTTTGAATTTGCCAATTTATCTTAGTTACAGATTCAGTGTTGGTGTATATTGATTTGTTTTGTATAACGTTCAGTTGTTGTTATTATTGGTCGGTTTGTCGCTCTGTCAAACAGCGAGACTGCAAGTAGAAAGAAAGAAGATATCAACTTTATTAGGATTTGTTTTTTTGCAAGTATACGCGCGAAAATCATCCAAAATTCACTCTCAATTAATATATTGCGAAGAAAGCAACTTGATAAACAATATAACTAGCGGTATATTCGCTCGGAATGAATGTAAATCGCGGCCGCGACCAAAATTGTAAAATTTTGTATTTTATTTAATTTTATTTATTTTATTTTATTATTATTATTTATTTTTTTGCTGTTGTCTGACCGGCCGGTTCAACACAAATGACTAGGTTGCTTGAATTCACTTGGATTGCTTGTTGAACGAATTTGACAGAAAAGCACACACACACTTTATTATATAGGGCGCCAAAACAAAATTTCAGTTTTCGTTACATAAACAATAAAATGCTACACGATAATGCAGTTAAAATAAACAAAATACAAATACGAATCCACATGCACACACACTCGCACATCATCTCATCTTCTCTCATAAACATTGTACCGCAAACGACACGCGATGATGATTCTCCCGCGTTCGGCAAATGCGAAATGCAACAAACACTCGTAAAGCAAAGTCAAAATAAAATAAATGCAGAGACAACAAAATGTTTTGAATTCTCATTTTATTTTATTTTTTTTTTTACTTTTTACTCTTTGACAATTTTTCTTCTGAAACACATACACACGTTGGTTGCAGCTGCTGCCGCTTCTGCTGCTGTTGCTTCTTCTTTGTATTTTTTCTATTACGCTTTGGCTTGGCCTTTATTTTCTTTTTGTTTTTTCTATTTTTTTTTTATCTGTGTGTGTGTGTGTGTATGTGTGTATGTTAGTTACTTTGCCGCCGTTTTGGCACTCACGGCAACAGCGCAAACAGCACTAGTCGAAAAGAGCGGCGAGACAACTTTCGAAATTCGAAAATGCTCGAGAGCGAGCACACCGGAGGGAAAGAGAAAGAGCATCACACATACACATAGGACAGAATATGTTCATATAGAGCTGTCCCGTTTGCACACAGGTCTCACTTTAAAATGGTGCTAAGCAGCAGCAGCACAATGAAATACCAATAGTTTCAGATACATTTTAAAACACCATCTACAACTAGGTTTTATTTTCACCATAAGAATACAAATTTTCAAAATTTAAGGGATCTGCGAATCGACCATAATCAAATTTACAAAAAAAGAAAAAGCAAGCAAATGTATAGGCAGAGCTCATACACACGAGATTTGATGAGAGAAATTCACCACACCGCTGCCAACTTAACTTGGTTATGTTCCGTTCCAGCAGTAGCTGGTAGGCAACATGATTCATGCATAATAAAGTCCCTTTGTTTGTCGTTGTTGCACATTACAAGCATTTCACACACAAATATATGGACATAAAGAAATATATGTACAACCGCATGAAAATAAAAATTCATACAAAATTTTGGATTTTAACACCCTCGCCATTAATTCAGACGATATTGGTGAGCGAAAAAAAATCCGATGGGCTCACTCACTGTATAGCTCCGACGGCAGCCATAAACAGCATGCACACATTCGCACATATATATAAATATATATACATCTGTTTCACACCACGCGCTGTTCACTCGCACAGTGGTTTCGCGCTCACACAAATGTCCATCCAATGTAAACAATGCAGCCCGCCCAACATTAATTGCAACGAGCTTATATATTGATATGTTATATTTACATAAATATCTATAACTGTATACAAGAAAGTATTTAAACTTTTTATGCCGGCCGGCAAATATGTATCTCTGATTTTGATTTCACTTCGAAACTCATTTTTTTGCATATACATACAGGCATAAACAGATACATATACGTATGTATGTATATGGCAAACACATAAATTAAGCACGTAAAATATTCAATTGAAACCACTGTGGGCACGACTCTCAATATGTGTATTTCGTACTCTTGACTGCTGACTGCAAATTTGTGGTTACGGTTTGTTGCCGACCGCTAAAATATATTTATATGTGTATGTATGTATATACAAAATGCAATGACGCGAAATTCAAATCAGTTGAAGTTCGAAAGCAACAACAATAAATCAACAAATGACGTAGCCTTATTCCCATTGCACCGAGCGCGGATTGAATATTTTTATAACGCGCAATTATTTGTATTTATTTCGAAAACAAAAAACGGGAAAAAACATACGCCAACGCCAACGCCAATTGCAGCAGCAGACGGGTGAGCTTCTACTCCCTCTCTCTGTCATTTGATTTTCGCTCTCTTGCTCATTCTCGCAACAAAACAAAACATTAACTGACAACACACACACACATGAACATACACATACACACGCAAACATCCATACAAGCGTTCACGGACAGCAAACGTGCTGATGTCCGCTGCGCTGTTGTAATTATGTAGTACAGTAGACGACTTTGAGTTTTTCAACAAAATTTTACGTAGAACGCAACAACACACCAGCAGCAACGTAGTGCGAACGTAGCTCTTGGTGTATACTTCGTGGTGCTTCGTATCAGCACACGAGCGCACGTTCTTTATACTTCGTGTTTGCATTTGTGTATGTAACGGACCGCGCCATACAACACACGATATATGTATATATTTATTCATATATATATTCATATATACATATATATGTATATATAAACGTATATTTTTGTGTACGGCTGTGTGTGGATATGTTTTCAAGGCAAACACGATGACGTCGAGCTAGCAGAAGAAGAGTAACTGTCGCACTGGAACAGCAATGGCATGCATTTTATTACTATTGGCGCCCCAAGAGACGAGCGGCCAGCGGCCAGCATAGGTATATAATAATTTCGACAATTTATAAGGTCCAGCAGATAATTTAATTTTACGTTAGGCTTTTAATCTAATTGGCAGACATGGAAAAAATAACTTTGCAAAATATGTTTATCAACAAAGGTCAACAACAAACAATTTTCGTCATGTTCGCAAAATTCAGTCTAATTATAACTTGGTATTGTACATACATTTAAGCTCAAGCAATACGTATAGATTCATTAATTGTTTTTAACATTATTATATTACTGTAATATTATTGTTATTTTTTTACTTTTGCACTTGAACTACGCGCAAAAAAATGTTATTTAAATAAATAAAATACAAGTGATCCAAACACCCAACATACATACATAACATGGTGTCGTGACTGAGCACTTGGGGCCCAAATGCACGAGTTAGAGCGAGACAACAGTTCACTACGTAATATATATTCGAAATGCAAATATGGCGGCGGTAGCGGCACGAGACACAAACCCAGCAACGACCAAGAGAGAGAGAGAGCGAGAGAGAAAGTGGGTTGTATGTTTGTATAGGTCACTCTGTATGTGTATGTGAGTGAGCGCGATTCTCTCCTCGTCGTCTACTATTGATGCCCGAGCTCGAAAGTGAAAAAGCAGGCGGCAAAGAGCAGTAACCATTGTTGTTGTTGCTATTGCTGCTGCTCCTGCCGTCGCTATAATTTGCTGTATCTGCAAGTATGTGCCGTGCCGACTACCGTAACGATACGAAGCGACTACGTCACGACGAGCGAACGTATAAATGTCGAATCAAATGTCGCGCCGAAGAGCGTGGAATGTTGACTGCCTGCCTCTAGGTTAATAAATCGTGCTAATAGTGGCACGAATTTAAAGCCGGTTTATATGCAGCAGCAGGAGCAGCAGCCGCAGCCGCTGCCTCAACCTAACCAACTGCAGCCACCGTCGAAGCTGACTGAAAAACCATCAATGAAATTGCGTGCATCCCAGCCCCCTCCCACTCCACACATAACCGCTTCTGTCCTACCAACTCCTAGATGCACAGTACAGGACTAAAAGAAATCCCCATTTGGCATATATAAAATAGCAAACGGAATGAATCTGAGACGATTTAAACTTTTCGCGCCAAAATGCAATTGTCATACAAGCACACAGATACAGACGCACACGCAGAGATACAAATCAGATGCTGAGGTGAAATGACAAATGAACAGTAAATGCATCAATGCCGGCTTCTTTTTGTTTACTTTTTTATTTTTTGTTGTTTTGTTTTTTCTTTTTCAAGAAATTACTCTAACGACAAAGGTTCATCAAAATTTGACTTTCATCTAAAGCAAAAGCAATAAATTCAAAAATTGATGTGCAAATATCAATATTAATCTCTCTCTATATATAATTTTAATTGATTCCCTCCATGACAATATACATAGGGGTAGAAAAGGAAATGCAGCTGGCTTTTTAAGCTACATATTAGATGAAGGGTTGCTTGGCTCAGACCTCTGAAAATGACTTCTATTGGAAATAGTTGCCAATGTGCAGCATAGAAACATAGGCATATCTACACGCATACACACAAGCACACACACATGTAAAATGCAGCCAGCAACAGTTATTAGTTAATTGTAATCGAGAGGTCAATAAATTCGCATTTTATTGCGTGGGTGTTTGTTGACAGGGCGACAGCAGAACATGAGGCACGTGGAACGGCTGATCGGAAGTTCGATTACATTACTTACATTTAGTTTCTTGTTTTGTTTTTATTGTTGTTTGTGTAGCTAATATCCAAAACAATTCCAATGAATTGTGCTTGTTGTTGTTATGCGGAGATATCCCAAATTGTGTATTTTGCAGTTGTTGTTGTCGCTGTATCCTTATTGTTGTTGTGTAGCTTATCAATTTGCTTTGATTTGTTGTAGCTGTGACTTTATTATTATTTTTGTTGTATGTATATAAATATATAGATTTTTCTAACAATAATACAACACGCAAATTCTAAATTTCTACACAATTGTTAAGTGTGTAACTGTATTATAAAAAAAAAGAAGATAGATATTATATTATACACATATATTTGATATACATGTATCAGAGGGCACCACACATTGTTGATGCGCGAGAACATCAACAAAAAAAAAAAAAAATGCGCACATGACGTATCGGCTACGTAGGGTATTGATGACGGGGCGAATACGACGGCGGCGGTTTCGAAAACGTAAGCAGCTACGAGAAGCAACGTACGTTCTTACGTGACGTTTTGTTAAACAGCGGCGGCGGCAAAACAGCGCGATACAAACACACATACGTTAAAAGACTACATTGCGCTCATACACGTAATATATTAATATTATAATAAAATATATATTTTTTATTTTTTAAACATTTATTTTTTATTTAATATATATTTGTAGCTTGGTAAAATATTTCTTGGATGTTTGCCATTTCGTTCTCATTATTTGTATGATTTTGTTGCTTTGTGTTTTTCTTAATTTTATTTTGTTAATATTCACTACCTAGTACTGCTAAAGGCACGTACATACACTTAAATACAGACACACGCTACGTTACATACACACATATTTATATATACATATACACACATATATATACATATATAAATACATATATATATTTACTCACACACACAATACCACATACACTCAGCGACAGATAGCTTCTTCTTCTTCTTCTAGTGTTGGCTGGTTGCGCTGTTCGTTGCCACCACCAAAAAAAAAAAAAAAAAAAAAGTAACACGAAAAAAATTGTCACGTCCATTGAAGTCTCACATTTTCAAATTAATTTCTTTGCGTAAAAACCATTGCATTTTATTAAAATATTATTTGAAATCACAGCGCGTTTTATTTAATTAGCATTTTATATGCAATTTATATAATTTTAGCTACTTTTTACCACAATTTAAAAGCAATTTTTACACACCGATATACGTACGCGCTACAATTTTCGACATACGCGCGTTTCTTGTGAGTAAAGCAACCGTCGCAGTCGCCATCAAATATACAAAAATTTTTCGAAATTACTCAAACCGCGAATACACACACATATATACACAGCGAAAGGCGAGCGCACGCGTACACCAACTGCTCTATAGCGGTACTGCTCACATTTAATACCGATGGGCGTGCGTGCAAGTGCAACCGACATATTAGCGCTGCATTAGCTACAGAGAGCGCGAGAGCAGACACTGTGCATGGGAGACTTATCGAAAACGTCTGTGTTCGCTCAGCGTTCGTTGGTGGTGGCAATAGCAAATGCTGCTGTCAGTGTTGGTGGTGAATTTTCGAGATATATATATATATATATATATATATAGACATGTATATGTGTGTGTATAAAAGCAACGAGCACCGCGCATGAAAAAATGCACGAGGAACAAAAGTAACGAGGAAACAAAATGGCTGTCTCACAATATTTGTATAGCATCGGTTATGTTGATAAGCGCCTTTTCTCAGTCTAAGCACCAATGTGCCCCAAATGCTTAAAACAATTATCAGCTGAATATTCATTCGGTTTGGTTTACTTCCGCCGCTTGTACCATTTTTTGTAGCATTTACATATATTATCTACATTTTAGCATTGACTAGCACATTTTTTCGTGTCCAATTCAGCACGTAGCGACGCGACTACTATCGGTTCAGGATGACTTTCTCGATTCATCGATATACAACCGATAATAGATTATAATTAATCGATGCTAACCAACGTAACAGACATTTTGATTGTCCATCACCAACCAGCTGTTAGCGTCGCAAATCGATAATCGATAAGTAGACATTGAATACAGACGATAAATAAAAGCAATAGTATAGGTAAGCAACATAATTTAACAACGAAAACTTAGTCAAAAAATTCAAATACTCTTAAATTCAAATAAACAAACAATTACATTGGTAAGCAGTATTTCAAGGCACGACGCCATTTCTGTTTCGAGGTGGCCTAGCGGCAGTACACACACGCGTGCGCACACACACACACGCGCCCACAGACACGCACACATATTTGCTATTCACACTAACGCAATTACCACTACATATGTAATTTACAGAGCCAGCCGCAGGTCGTCATGCCACGAGGAAAATACGTTAACCACAAAGGCCGCAGCCGCCACTTCACATCACCCGAGGAACTGCAGCAGGAGTCCGAGGATGAAAGTGAACAATCGACTGGCAGCGATGATGAAGGAGAGCAGACGGGAGGAGCCGCCGGCGCCGGCTCATCCAAACAGTCGGCTGCATCAGGTGCAGCACGCAAACCGGCGAGGACCGCACAGCGACAAAAGCACCAGCAGCAACGACAGCAGCGCAGCTCCTCCGACGAGGAGTCCGATGACGATGACAGTGATGATGATTCGGAGACAGAAGTACGGGATGCCAAGAAGGGTGTGGCCGCGCTTATCGAAATCGAGAATCCCAACCGTGTGACCAAAAAGGCCACCCAAAAGCTCTCCCAGATCAAGATCGACGATGGAGGCAGCAGTGCAACTGGCAGTGGCTCATCTTCATCACACAAGCCGGAGCTGTCGCGTCGCGAACGTGAACAGATTGAAAAACAGAAGGCGCGCCAGCGTTACGAGAAGCTCCATGCTGCCGGCAAGACCACCGAGGCGAAGGCGGATCTCGCACGGCTGGCGCTCATCCGTCAGCAGCGAGAGGAGGCGGCCGCCAAGCGGGAAGCTGAAAAGAAATCTGTCGCCGATCTGGCCAAGAAGCCACTCTCCAAATAGTCTAGACGCTCCACATGACAGCGGGTTTATGGCAATCGCATTCAAATAACAAAAATAGTTCGAATTTCGCATAAACAAGCAAATCACTAAATCAAGCAGCAGAAAAACTAAACTATTGTAATTGTACGATTTCTAAATATCAAAATCATTTTAACGGCAACAAGTAATACCAACATATAAATTGATATGTATGTATATGTATAAAACAAACGTAACTGCACCACATGATGTCATATTCTCCAATGATTTGTTTTCAATCTTCTCTTAATTCAAATATACATATACAACAAAATTTACAAATATTTAGTTAAGTCAACTTTTCTATTATCAAATTGTTTAACCCTAATATTTTTTTTTTACAAATTTTTTTTATGAATAACAAAGTTTTGTAATTGAGAATTATAATAAATAAATCAAATAAAATTATATATATGTAAATATATATGTATATATATTTACATATACATATGTATTAAATATATATATGATAAGCTCGCCTACAGTAAACACTCCTGACTAACGAATTCATTTTCATCCATTCGTTGCCTTGATTTTGCCGAATTTTTATTATTCTTTTCCATGCATAGTAGTTGAAATTTGTATAAACTCACAGAATTTGACTGTAGTAGTGAAACCTGTTGATAGTTTTATGGATATTTGGCATAAATTTTGTGAAAAATGTGTAAATAAAGTGGAAATGTTCGCCATAGCGAGCTTCGGCTGTAGCATGAACTGTTGCTGCCTTCTTTCATTTGTTTCAAATTTAAAGCGCTAATAATTAGATTTTGAATTATAGAAAAAGTTATATATAAAATAAACCCTCAACTATACAGATTTACGTCTCTTATGTCGCAGTGAGTTTACTAGGAATATCCATATACATATTTTTATATATAAGGCCTCTGCAGTCAATGCTTTACTCTATTAGTTAGTTTGAATTTCACATTATCTCTAACCTTTTAATAAAATTTAAAAATATTTATATATATATTATAGTATATATTTAAATATGTACATATATGCATGATTGAAATCTCTCATAGGATATATATTCATAATATTAGCTAAGAAACTAAATAGGGTTAAACTAAAGAGCGGCTAGACTAGAGGGACTAGACCACGCCCCATACCTCTTCAAAGGCGCTGCAGAGCTTGGAGCAGGCAATGGCTGCCGACAGCGGATACCGGCTGATGGAGATGAGCTCCTCTGTGTAGTCAGTGTTGAGAGTGCCGTGAGCGAAGGCGCCAATGACGATGACCACGGGCTCTTCATAGGCTGAGCTGCCCTCCTCGCCCTTCGGCACCAGGTCACGACAATTGGTCACCAGCCTGCCGGAGTAGGACATTGCATACTTCTTGCAGCCGACGGGTAAGTGATCTGTGATCGGATTCTTGATGACGCTCATCAGACGGCGCGACGTCTCGTTGGCGCGTACTTGAAATTTGTGCAGCAGCTGCACCATGAGGCCGGCGAAGCGTTTGAATGTGCGCGGTATCCGTGTCTGTGGATTGATCTCGATGATCACATTCTGTGCGGTGCGCACAAACACCTGCAGCAAGCCGGCGCGATTCAGCGGCGAATCGAACAGCATCAACAGGCATTGGTGGGTGATGTCCGGGCGGCAGGTGCCCGGTTCTCTCTGATTTTTGCGCAAAATGCCCGCATGGTCATCGCAGTTGAGCAGCTCGAATGTCCGGTTAACCTGTAGCACATGCACGCAATAATGCCAAATGTTAATAATAATGATAATTATAGATATCGAAGCATTTGAATCACTAACCTTCACCGTTTCCAGTTGCGCGCCTTCTAGTACGATTATCAGGCGCTTTTCTTTCGTATTCACGTGCAGCAACTTAAAGTTGTTTCTATCCAAATCGAACTCGGGATCGTCTTCCTTGCGTCCCTCGAATTTTCGTTTCCGATTTATCATTTTACCCTGGCCTCCCATTGCTAATCTATTCCTTTTTTCGTTAAACTGTCAACGCGCCCGGAATACAAAAACAAATGCCATGTGCACGCCGAGGTAATAGGGATGAGCTGCTTGCAGCCATCGTTCGACTGTCACTTATCGATGAAGCTCAGCTGTCATTTGCTCAGCTCGAGAAGCTGACCATCGTGTAATACTATCGATGTTCATTATCATGCCGGCATTGCGCTATCGACAACTTCCAACGGCTTCTGTTTAAACTATTTATGCCAAAAAGTCATGCTCATCGGGGTTCTCATAAGAATTTACAACTAATTGGATTTCTATTTATCCACAATAATTAACTGATGACGTTACTAACTCAATCCTAGTTATCGATAGTTTTACAGTCAGTGCTTTGCCGTCACTAAATCAATTTTGCTATTTATTATTTTGATCGCATTGCGTTTGTTGACAAAGCGTAGGCTACATTTAAATTATTTTACAAATATACGGTTGACATGGCTGCCGCCCGTCGTGATATAGCGCCGTTCCTGCAGCGCGTACGCGCCTTTCTGCTGGGCGTAAGTATGTCGCAGTCGCGCTGCAATTGGCAAATCTGCGAGCGGGTTATGTAAGTGAATGAGATTTTCGTTTGATTCTATTTTTTAGCGTGAACATACTGTTGCGCTGCGCTTCGAGGATGGCTTAGCCGACCGCACACAGCCCCAGCCGGAGCTACCGGACGGACCCTCGCACCTGTACTCGGCCAACTACTACTGCACCCGCGATGCTCGTCGTGAGGTGCAGCCGCCCATCGACCTGGTGCAACAGCAGAAACTGATCGATGCTGCCACCGAAGGTGCACCCAAGGCTCGCGCCCAGCTGCCCACGCCCGGCAAAGTCTATGCCTGGGACTAGAGCCGTTCCGCGACCCAATCGATTGCACGCAATCAGTAAATTAAATCAATCTTTTTTTTTTTTGTGCGAATGCCGTTTAATTCTAAATATAGACATTGTTAAACCACGGAGCATTTCTAGCATTCACTGCTCAGGGGAGAAGAAGGTCGCTGGGCAGCACTGGCTCTTACTACAGTTGTCATTCGCAATGTGGAACCTTTAGCAGTAATTCTTGTTATAATTATAAAGATGAATGATTGAAAAGATGCATTTGCAAATTTATTCCACTGATTAATCAATTCGAATTCCCTCTTTAGGCCAGCTTGGAATCTCCTAGTCGATATCTCTGCTTAAATAGCTAGAATGACTATTGAAGTGAAGTTAAAAGATTAAGGGAGTAAATATTAATATATTTATTTAAGTGAATATTTATTTTATTTGATTATAATTTATTTCAATTATTGTTAGTTTGGCTTTAAACAATTTTCGTATGCAGCCTTTGATGCTCTGCATCTGGATGTTACTGGATTTCTTTTCAAAATAGAAATCAAATCCCTGATTCTTGATTTCTCTTGGGTGTTGAAACAGCAGCATAGGAAAGAGCGAGACGGGGAGAGGTGTGCAGGGACGGCTGCTCTGATCAGCTGGCACTGAACCCCTCTTCCCGTCTCGCTCATTCCGATGCCACTCTTCACTCATCAGCTGGCCCTGCCAGCTCAACAAACCAGTGGTCAAATTTCATGTTTTTTGCTCTTAATATATGGAAAATGTGTATATATACGATTTGTCACGTCCCTAGTGATGTGCTTTACAATATATTGTTTTTAGTCGGAGGGTTTCCAATAGCATATCTCTTTCGGATCTTCAGTTCGACTTGCCACGCCCCTGAAGGGCGTATGCGATTATGAATGAGTGCTCAAGATTTGAAAAAAGTAAGAGTGAATCTTTGTAATTGGCGTTAAGTTGTCGGCAAAGGGCTTTTATCTCTGCGACTCTTGCGAGCTTTGGTTAGTCTAGAGATCTCTTGATGGAGCCAAGAGACGGCTAGACCCAGCTAGACTCTTGGAAACAATAGAATTCTAGACCCAATAGACTCGTAGATCCAAAAGACTGCTAGATAGACTAGACTCCTAGAGCCAATAGTCTTCTAGACCCAGCAGATTTCTATTACTGTATTTGAGTGTATTAAAGGAGCATTGGAAATTTTCCTTAGCACTTTGTCATGGAATTTCGGAATGATGTTACAGTTCGAATAACTGACAGTGGCCCAAGTTCCTGGGAACTGATGCTTAACAGAGGACTAACCTGGAAGCCCCAGCTAATTAAATCAAAGTATAAAACATAAAATAACATTTAATTTAAAATGTTGTATATTTAATTATATTTAAAATGCAAACATAATAAAAATATATATACATTTTTTTATAATTAGAAATATAAAAATTCATTTTAAAAATTCCAATTAATTTCCGGAAATTCACTTTCACTAGCAGCTTCCTTTGCTTGTGTTGATGCATTGCTCTAAATCAGATTCCGTAATCGCGTCCAAATCATCCACTTGTATTCCCATTAGAGTCAAGGGCACGGTTCACGGCAAAAAGCTTAGAATTTGCTCTGCAAAGGGATTTTAATCTGTACCTCATTAATGGGAATGCGAATGCGAATGCAGGTGGGAAATTCACCTTCAATTTTTCGCAAGCTAATGCGAGTGCTACGGAGTTTCCAGGTGGGTCCACACGACTGTATGTATGATGCGCGCTCACGAAATCTGTGGAAATGCTGTTGAGAGTGCTTGACGGGGTGAGTCGGGGCTCGACTAAGAGATACCCTACGCTAGGCTACGCTTTCAGGATACTCTCTGTTGACGTGGCTCTCATCATGCCCGCATGATTCCACTGGAGGAATTGCTTGCCGACGCCAAGGAGCGGGCAAACGGGGTGAACAGCATTGCCCGATGTCAATGTAGGTGAAATAGCTTGGCGAAAGGACGATGGACTGATCGATGATGCTGGAATCGGAAGCAAATAAAGTTCCTGCATGGCCACAGTGGAGTGGAGCGGGCGAGCTTTTCCTTTTTAAGGCCGAGCAAGCATCGTGCGCTACCCTAACACCTTTATGACATCAACTGTAAGATTGATACATATTATATTTTATACAAAAAAAAAAAAAAAAAAAAAAAAATAAATAAATAAATAAATAAATAAATAAAAAAATTCAAGAAAATAAGAAATAAACAAAAAATACTTATATTTTCATAAAGGTTACTCAGCTTGTAATGAATTTCTTATATATGATTTATTATAATTTTTTAAATTTATTTATTTTTTATTTTTTTTATTTATTTAGTTTTTATTTTTTTTTATAAGACTTTAAGTAAAATAAAAATTCAAATTTGTAGAGTGTAAGATTAATTATGTATTTTTGTACATTATATAAAAGTAGTATCCAGATGCGATTGCCTCCGAACGGTACTCAAATGCCAAAACACTTCTTATCTAGGCATTCATCACATTGGGAGCTGAAAATATTCAGCTTTTATTCCATACAAGTCGTGCTGAAAAAAACAACTGAAAAATCGATTATTATCGATAAAAAAGGAGTGGATTGATTTATTGAATTAAAGCCAGGATATATTTGGCACATAAGTTGAGAAGCTAAGCTTCTCTAAGGCTCTAGCTCTTGTAGTTCGTGAGATTAGTGCATTTTTATGGACGAAGCGAACGAATATCTGCCACGCCTACTTTTATCTGTAGGATTTTCAGAAAAGAATTATACCTTCAGCTTTCACTTACAATGGATTCAGGGTAACATAAATTGATATTCTCGTATTTGCTATGATCAAATGAATAAAATTTATCATTTTTAGCTGTATTTATAGCCTGATTAAATAAAGCTGAATTTGGAATTGGAATTAGCTTTAGAACTAACTCGTAAATAAAAGATCGTTAATTATTTCAAGTTTCTTCGACACTAAGAGGACTATAAATATACATATGCTATATAGTTTTCACTGATCTATGGAGTAATTCCGTAATTGACGAAAATGTAGTATAAACAGTTTTTCCCAACCTATCACGCCCCCAGAAGGATGTAAATCTATAGACTTGATGATTTAGTATATATTAGAATGTATATAGCAATTCCATATATATAGATTTCAACTCTCTAGCTTCCATACATTTTTGGCAATATACTCTTTTCAATGGGCGAACGAGTGTTATGAATGATAATAATGCCGATTATAATGGAAAATTCTCTGAATTTCACCTTCTACGAAGGGATTACAATTGAAAACTTATAAACAAATTTAAATCAAAGCGCAGACGGGGCCTTCGTTTTCACTCTCCCCCTTCGTTATCACCCTCCCCACTTTTTTGTATGAAAGCTGTTTGCAGCAATCAACAGAAGCAGAGCAGATTGCATTAATGCGAATGATTCTGTTTGAATCGAGTGGGTGGAGAGCAAAAGAGAAACAAAGGAAATCGTTGAATGAAAGATGAATTTCCTCGTTTAAAGGAATCGCAGTGCAGAGTTTAGCTTTTATATCTTTCATTTGTCAGTTAGTTGTCAGTCCATCCATCAATCAGTCAGCCAATCAGCTACTGAATTAGCTAGGTTATCAATCAGACAGCCAAAGCTCCATCAGCCAACTATGTAGCCCATCAGGCAGTGAATTATTCAAGCAGTTAACGCTGTCAATCAATCAGAAATGTAATGCATTGATTCAACAATCAGTCAATCAGTTACTTTTATCAATCAGTCAATCGATTGCTCAGTCATTAGTCAGCCCACAGTCGACACAATGAATAAACAAATGATTTACTCAATCAATCAATTAATTATGAACTCAGTCAGTCAATCTGTCTCACAATTCAATAGTTCTAGTTCGACAGTCGAGTGATTAGGTGCTCAAACAGTCGTTCACTCAGTCAGTCCATCAGTAGATATATTAAGCTACCAATAAGTCAGCTAAATAGTTATTCTAATGAGGTTTTCAGTCAAACAATCAATCAATTATTCACTCAGTGTATCCATCCATCAATTGTACACCCAGCCAGTACATTATATAGATCTATGAATTGTTATATTAAGCAGACAATTAGTCAGCTGAAAAGTATCTTAATCAGTGGGCCAGTCAATCAATCAATTATTCACTCAACCAGTCAGTCTGTTAGGGTATTGATTGATCAGTCAGTCCATCAGTTGATATATTAAACTGACAATTAGTCAGGCCAACAGTATCCTAATCAGTTGGCCAGTCAATCAATCAAAAAGTTATTTACTCAATCAATCAATTAATCAATTATGCACTCAGTCTGTTAATCTAAGAATTAATTATTTAGATCCAGTTAGGCAATCGATAGATCTGTCAGTTTATCAATTTATATATCAAGCCAACAAGTAGTCCGTCACGCACTAGGCCAGTCAATCAATCAATCAATTAAGCACTCGGCCTGTCAATCTGAGAGTCAATTATCTACATGCGCTCTATTCATTCTAGCCATCAATCACTCGTTAAATCAATCAGCTAGCCAGTTAGTCAATCGTCAGTTTGTCACTCTATATACATATGCATATCATATATACATATATATGCATATATATATATATATGCATATGCATGTATATGTATATGAATCTGAGCATTGCAGGTACTACATGTATATTGAGTGGACGAAGCACAGTTGCCATGCAGAGAGCACTTTACGGGAATATAATGCGCAGAGTAATTTCGCCACCCTGTGCGACACCCTGTGCGAGTGGGGTGGGGGGGGGGGGAGGTGGAGCACTTCAGCTGGCATCAATCTGAGCACAAGAGCTGCCCACAATGCGACGGTCGAGTATGCGAGTGTGTGTGTTTGTGTGTGTGTGTGTGTGTGTGTGTGTGTGTGTGTGTGCGCGTGTGTGTGCGAGTGTGTGTGTGTGGCTGACACATTAAAGTGCGGCTTTAAATTATGATGCGTGGCATCCACAGATGCCTCGTCGCACTCACGGGAAGGCAACGTTTTTTTGCTCTTGTTGTTTTTTTTTTCTTTTTGCCCATGCCACGTACGGCACATAGGGAAATGTATTTTTGCATCCCGGTCAGCCAGGCGGGAGCTGAATGCTTAACATCGTTTAACGTTTCACGCTGCCATTAGTGGTGCCACTGCCACTGCCACACCCACACCCACTCCCACACCCACTCTCACGCCCACTTGCATCGGCCTGTTTGTACTCTTAGTCAAAACGAGATGTGTGTGCCCTGCATTCGCAATTGCATGGTAATCGAATTATCTGGC